CCGGAAGATCCATCCGAAAACTGCCAGGAAGATTTTGAATATGACGATTGCCCATTTGAGTTCAATGACTCGGACGAGAGCGATTGCTGCAGCTCCATCACCGACTCGATCCGAGGCCATGTCTACGAGGATGGCTTACGCTACCACGCCTATCATGCAGGAAAATATGCGTATCCCAACGACGAGAACGAGCAGAGACGTGAGGAGGTCAAGCATACCATGTCCATGATGCTCTGTGACGGGCAATCCTTCTTGGCTCCCGTCGAGGAGGCATTGGAAGATGGTGGCCAGGTCCTTGACTTGGGAACTGGTACTGGGATCTGGCCCATGCAGTGTAAGTGCTTCACCATGAACCAGGGCACCAAAATCTCGTTGCTAACACCAATTTGACAGTGGCCGAAGAGTACCCCGATGCAGTCATAACAGGCGTCGACCTGTCACCCATCCAGCCCAGCTTCGTCCCAGAAAACGTGCGCTTCTTCGTCGACGACATCGAAGACGAATGGGTGGACCCGGAGAACAAGTACGATTACATCCACCTGCGCTTCGCACTACATACTCTCAAGGATAGGAAGTCACTCATGGAACGTGTTTTGCGGTAAGTTTTCACCATCCCTCACTTCTTCTCTCTTCTTCTCTTGGCGCAACATCTCGCTAACTCGACCTGTCCTTAGACACCTCAAGCCAGGCGGTTACTTCGAAGTTCAAGAAATCGATGCCAGCTATCCACGTTGCGATGATCACACTACCACACCCGACACTCCATACGCCGTCCGTGACTATCTCAAGTACCTCGAAGCCGGTCTCAAAGCCATGGGTGCCGACATCAGCGCCATCCAAAAGGCTTCTCAGGAGATGCGAGAGGCTGGGTTCGAGGATGTCACCGAGATCACCAAGAAGCTGCCCCTTGGGCTTTGGCCGGCGGATAAGAAGCTTCGACTTTGCGGTCTGTTTTGGCGAACGGCAGTTATGGATGGCTTGAAGGGATTGTGCAGCAGGCCGTTCCAGGCTATCGGGTTGACGCCGACGCAGATTGAGTTGTTTCTGGCCGATGTGAGAAAGGCGGTGATGGATGGGAGTTTCCATACTTACTTTCCTTTGACTACTGTTTATGGGAGGAAGCCGTTTGATGCTTAGGTGTTCGGTCGGGGTGTAAAGTCACTTGGGTCGATTGGGAGTTTGGTCCATATTAGCGATAATGCTCTTTGGTCACTGAGCAGATGGTGATACCTTATGTTGTTGCGCCGGACCTGGTGTTGCAGGGACGCCAGTCGCACACTGGGAACAGGAATTTGGAATGGCAGTTGCCATCACTCGAGACACTCAAA